GACACACACACACACACACACACACACACACACACACAAGCTATTACACCATGGCGTGCATGTATACTCGTGAGAGAACTATCCTCTAAACTAAAACGCAGAAGCAAAATGGCACTTCTTTGACGTCACAAAATGAAGGCGGTACCGGAAGCTTACTACATAATGTACTGAAGCTGACGACAGTTCATTAAAGCAAAATCAGAACACAGTGGAAGAAGTGGCGCCATTGTTAAAGAAGTGGTGACTCAAACATAACAGAAATTGATAAGCAAAAATACAGCAGCAATAGCAGATCCACCCCAATAAGTTAAATAGTAGTAGAAGAGGCGCCATTGTTAAAGCGGTGGTGACTCAAGCATAACAGAAATAAATAACCGATAAGCAAAGATACATTGAAAAAATAGCGGATCCACCCCCATAACTTAAAATATAGCAGCATAGATGTGAACTGTGAGTGTGTGAGTATTTGGATAAATACTACTATGTAAAATCGCAACAACACTCAGTGAAAAATTTTTACTAAAAACCCACTAAGTACAACAGAATGTCTTGAAGAGGTGGGTGAGGGGATGGGGGTTGGGGGAGGGGGGGAGAGAGAAAGAGGAACCATTATCATTACCATCATCAAGTCCCCGATTTGCGAAAGACATCGACGATCATGGTTCTCTATTCATTCCTTTGTTCAGATGCTCTAAAAATTTTAAAAACAACAAAAACATTATCCTGATCTTTCTCCATCACATAGATCTGTTTAGGAAGGACCCCCAAGTAAGTTGCTCTAGGTCTACCCCTACTTTGTTTACCTGCAATTTTCCCAGTGAGAGCTAAGAATTCCAGGTCTTTACGTCTATCCAAGTGGAAGGGACGACTCTCGTTTAGTTACCTTTTTCAATTCCAACTTATGAGCAAATTTGTGAGGCAGCGTGGTGGAATCAGGCTCTCGTCAATTTTTGGGCATGTAGAGTTATTGGTATCATCTTAAAGCTTGCTCACTTGTCTTTATTTCAATTTTTAAAAATCCATTTATCTTGAATACAAGTCGAGATATTTCCGAATGAAGGGGGTGGGGGTCACCTGTTTTCAGAGGTAAAATTAGTGAAAAATGGCTGGCAAAGATTAGTTATTTCCTTAGCTTAAGAGTCCGTGGTAACTGAAAATTTACATTTTTAGTGCCTTTAATCGACGTTTTTCAGAATAATCCACACAGAAATTAGTTCTTTAAAGGGCATGAAAGATGTTGAGCCAAAAAACAAAATTTTATAAAAACTCACAAATTTGCGGAAAAATGCAAGTTTCTTCACTTTGATTATTTTGACGAGAGCCTGATTCCACCACGCTGCCTCACATATTGGTCGCTTTTAACCACAAGGGGGCTATCAAGAAAAATGCTGTTTTGAGAAAATCGAAGGTAAAGTTTTTGCCCGGTGTTCACTTTCTTTAAAAGACAAGGACAGTTTTCTCTATCAAAAAAAAATATATATATAAACACCAATGAAACCAAACTTCTCCTACAGGAAGGTCAATGCCCACTTTTGGTACAGGTCAAGATTTCTGGAAACCCCCAGAATATGGGTTAGCCCACTTGTCTTTATATAAAAGCGACCATTTCACCAAGTTGTAAACGAAAATTTGTCACGAGGAAAAACCAACATGTCTTCTTAAGTTTTCGTTCTTTTTAGAGTTTTACGGAACTTGCAAGAAAATTAGGCCATAATAATAGGCCTGCCGAAGATTAGAGATGTTACCAGAGAGTGAAACACAAAAAAGGAGGAAGGGGAAAAATAAGAACCCTATATATGTGTTTGAAAGGAAAGGGGGAGCGAACCACACCAGAGCAACCATTAACTACCCACTCACTGTACTCAAATTCAGACATTTGGCTGGGCTAATTTCAGCAAGCTGTTTCGAAATCTGCAATTGGAACTTGCATGTTTTCTCAAGTCAGGTCTGACAACAGAATTAATAATAGAAAGCACTCATTTTTTCCCCTCGTAAGTGAACTGGGAAAGGGGGGGGTGTGAGAGAGAGAGAGAGAAAGAGAGAGAGAGAAAGAGAGAGAGAGAGAGAGAGAGAGAGAGAGAGAGAGAGAGAGAGAAAGAGACAGACAGACAGACAGACAGACAGACAGACAGACAGACAGAGAGGGCGAGAGAGAGAGAGAGACAGAGAGAGAGAGGGTGAGAGAGAGACAGAGACAGAGAGAGACAGAGAGAGAGAGACAGACAGACAGACAGAGAGAGAGAGAGAGAGAGAGAGAGAGAGAGAGAGAGAGAGAGAGAGAGAGAGAATCAAATCATATAGAAAAATTTTCAAAGAACTCAACTTGTGTAGTTGTCGGGTACTCAGGTATAGTATGATCCTTCTTTCCAATTTAAGTATCTATCGTCCTCGTCTCACCTTCTTTTCATAGTATAATATTCCCTTCTAATAACACATCCAATCTTCAGCATTTATATGACCTATTTGCATGGCCAGTGAGTAAAACTCTACCATGAAAACTTCACGTAAACTACTGAATTCTTCTGGGCTTCCTTTCACGACAACGTGAGTCTATTATTAAACTAGGAAATCCCGGACGTCAAATGACGTCATTCTTCACTCATTATGTTTATCCTCACATACGTCATTCTCCAAAACCCCTGAAATATACGGGCATCGACTTACTTGAATAAAAACTAATTAGATCTATGAATTTACTATGATATCCCAGAGAAGGCAAAATCATGGCGACCTCTTCGCTCTCCGTAAAACCTTCGCGGAGCTAGTGCGCACCAATGACGCGCAAATGAAGGGCAAATCAACAGGCAAGGTTCGCTATAGTCCAGTCCGCGCGAAACGTGGTTATGTTCTCCTCCTTCTTGCCCCTCCTTGCCTTCATAATAGCGTCAAACAATGAGCTCCATGGTGACCTGGAAATTACGTCAGAATGCCACGTCTTGGGTATAATACTATAAATCTATGGACTCGGTATACATTAAAGAGGCAGCATGGTGGAATCAGGCTCTCGTCAAAATAATCAAAGTAAAGAAACTTGCATTTTTCCACTGGTTTTTAAATTTTTATCAAATTTTTGTTTTTTGGTCCAACACCTTTCATGCCCATTAAAGAATTCATTTCTGTGAGGTTATTTCTGAAAAACATTGATTAAATGCACAAAAAATGTAAATTTTCAGTTATCACGGACTCTTAAGCTAAGGAAATAACTAATCTTTAGCGGCTATTTTCTCACTACTTTTACCTCTGAAAACAGGTGACCCCCACCTCCTTCATTCACAAATATCTTGACTTGTAATCAAGATAAATGGAAATTTTTTCCATCCCAATAAATACAGGCGAACAAGCTTTAAGATGACACCAATAACTCTACATGCCCAAAAATTGACGAGAGCCTGATTCCACCACGATGCCTCGCCTGTTCAACACACACACGAGAACACACAAAACGGTGTCAGTTCTACGGTCAGGTAACGGAAGTGTGCATTTTAAAAAAAGAACAATACTAGTAAGGCAAACAAGAATGGCGAGCAAATAAAACTTGTAGAATGAATGGCCCGTGGCTGTTGCCAAAGATAGTGCATAACAAGATGGTCCACTCAGCCAAAAAAGTGTCCGCCGGAAGTCCGCTCTTTGCTTCAGATGGCGCTGCAGTCTGTTTTGAAGCTCTCTTTCGTTTCTCCAGAAGAAGAATAGGAATAGCACCTCCTTGCGTGCGCAGATCGACTGCTATTCATCAGCTGTACGGGTCTGTTCAGTGCGGAGTTTTAGGGTTTTAAAAAAAATATTTTAATGACCACTCGCCTTTCTTTCGAAAGTCAAATAAAACGAAGAAAACAGTCAGGAGGAAGAGGTTTTTGTGAGCGTAACCATTTAAAAAAGCGTTCTTCCTAAATTTGAATTCTTATTTATTCAAAAACTAGTGTTGTTTCACTTTGATTTTTTCAAACACAAGTAGGGTAACTCTGTTCGCAAAGGGTGCGCATTTGCGAAGAGGGCTCCACCGAATTTTGAGGACACTTTTTTAATTGGCTCAAATAGAGGAGTGGACCATCTTGTTATGTAGACTCTTTGTTGTTGCACAGAGCCGATACTGGTAAGACGTTAGGAATGATACATGTACATGTATAATACTGCTGATTCGAGATAGAGAGCGGCACACAAGAAATGATCCATTGACAGATTATAAGATTAGCCGTCACTGTGGTCGACTTGCTTCAGGCACGCAGGAGGCAAAGGTCATAGGCAGATTTGTGAGGCAGCGTGGTGGAATCAGGCTCTCGTCAAAATAATCAAAGTGAATAAATTTGCATTTTTCCGCAGGTTTGTGAATTTTGGTCAAATTTTTGTTTTTCGGCTCAACACCTTTGAAGCCCACTAAAGAACTCATTTCTGTGTGGATTTTTCTTTTTAAAAAACGTTGATTAAAGGCTCAAAAAATGTAAATTTTCAGTTACCACGGACTCTTAAGCTAAGGAAATAACTAATCTTTGGTCGCCATTTTCTCACCAATTTTACCTTTGAAAACATGTGACCCCACCTCCTCCATTAGCAAATATCTCGACTTGTATTCAAGATAGATGAATATGTTTTTCATAGAAATAAAGAGAAGCGAACAAGCTTTAAGATGACACCAATAACTCTACATGCCCAAAAATTGACGAGAGCCTGATTCCGCCGCGCTACCTCACATTTACTGTTGTGCAACCACCACCCCTTCCCATCCCCACCCCTTCCCAAATAACCCCCCCCCCCCCATCCCCTCCCCCTCTTCCTAAAAGATACCCCAAAACCGGTCTGTTTTGTTTTTTGTTTGTTTTCAGGGCGGCCTTTAAAAAAAACCCACGCTCATATGACCTTACGTAGTTGCGAGCGCCGTAAAACCATGTACTTAACTACTAAAACCCCACGCCGACTTGAATGGATACCTTGAGATTCGACATTTCCCGTAGAAATCGTCACAATATGTAGAGATTGTTTCCTTTATTTAACGTGATCTATTACTTGACAAGTTATCAGAGAAATCAAATGCTGGTTGTACACATAGCAATAAACCTTCGTCCTTCGCCCATAAAACTATCAACGGACTTCTGTCTGTTCCTTTATTGAACTATTACTTGACAAGTCATCAGAGAAATTAAATGCTGGTTATATACATAGCAATAGATCTAAACCTTCGTCCCCCGTCCCTAAAACTATCAACGGACTTCTGTTTCGCTTGCCTCCGAAAAGCTTTCGATAGCTGCAGCAAAACTCCCACATCCCCGCCCGAATCCGTCAATGGAACATGGCTTGAAGTTGAAGAAGAGTTATAACAGAGAGGTTGTGAGTGCGACGACGTCGCAGCGCTCATGACGACGTGACGTAATAAATCACCCAACAGAGAGGTTGTGATTACGACAACGTCGCAGCGCCCACTGAAGACGTGACGTTAATAAATAATCCAACTGAGAGGTTCGTTCTACTCGTCGTCCTCAAAGACCCCAGCCTGCGTGAAAGTCCTGGGCAGGTACGTCCTCTGCTGGCGGTCTCGCATCACTGACGTCACGTCTGCTAGAAAGGAACACTGGCGGCGGGTGGGCGAGTCGAAGAGCTTCTTGATCGACTCCTCCCCCAGCGAGGCGATGTTGCTTCGCGGAAACAAGGCCAATGACGTCCGGTGGCGCTCGCGTCGCTCCAGTGGCTTGGGCGGCGGGAACACGCCGTGAAGTGACTGCTGCTTGATGTTCTCCTCGCAATAGCTCACCAGCGACTGCAGCATCGAGTGTTTTTCCGGCGCGAAGAATTTCCGCCGTGCGATCTCGTAGCACGCGCTAACGAAGCCCAGGAAACACAGACCTAGAGGCGCAGGCAAAGCCAAGAAACAAAATAGAAGAAAAAAATTGTACTAGGAAAAAGGTGAGGAAAAACAAGAAACCAAAAACCAAGAAACCAAGAAATATAAAACACACAAAAAACGAGGGTTACAGTTGAATGGGTGAATAAGCAATTCAAAAGGAAGTAAACAATTAAAATAACAATGATGGTGATGATAATAATATATAAAATAATATGCTCCAAATCAAGCATCAACTCTTTCTGCGCCATGCATTAAGGAACCACCGTCTTTCTTTATGAAAAATGGATTGTGCTCTGATGAATCATGGATAAATTGTAGAGTTTATAAGATTACACTTTTTTTTTTATACGAATAATACTCAACGCTAGACTGCTATATTTAATCAAACAGCTCAGGGCAATTTTTTAAAATCAACTCTTAAGTCACCTCTAGTGGTAGCAGTTGCAATGTGGAACCGGGGATCAATTAACTAAATTGTCGCCATGTGTGTGTTACAGCAATAAAAATATTACTTATTAACAATTTGGCACAGCTTGGAGTTTGTTTCGTTGTACAAGTCCAGTGGTCTAAAACGTTTGCAGGAGCAGGCAAGCCAAATTCGAAACTTTGTCAGTTGTCTCAACGACTTGTGAATTATATTCTATTTTGCTTTTTCTTAAGATAAAGTCTGCATTCATAATAATTATGCTGATTAACATCTGATTTGAGCCGCGGCAATGAGAATGCAATATTAGTAGTAGTAGTTTCAGGAGAAAGTGTACTTCGAAGATATTGTCAAGGGTCCTATAGGCTATATGCAAACACAGCACACACACATACACTGGGGTATGAAATATAACATTGAACGAAATAAGAGGAAATGTGGAAGAAGCTATATATATTATATA